AAAAAAAAAGCATTTAAAAAATTTGAGGCAATTGTGGGTTGAATCAAGGAAATTATTTGCCTTAAATTTTACCCTGTAAATTTTTGGGTAGGACAACTCATCAAAAGATCTTTCACGAACCTGTCAGTTCCTTTGATGTCTAAGGGAGTGACCAAGTTATGCTTGTGTTATGGCCATTCAAATATATTTTGTAACAGGGTAGTTTGCTGGGAAAGACAGCAGCATAAAGTAAGAACAAGAGAGCTGGTATTTTCATTCATTCATTTGATCTCTCATTTAGTATATAATTTATTGAATATGATACTCTGTGTGTGGGCTGACAATACGATTTTGAATGAAAGCACGGATGTTTTGCCTAACAGTTAATATGCCCGCATCCCACACTGGAGTACCTGGGGTCAGCATATAGCTCCATGCTTGCCTCCATCTTCTTGCTAATCCACACCTGCTGCCTACGAATGCAGCAGTGATGGCTCTAGTTAATTGGGTTCCTAGCCAGCCATGCAGGAGAACTGGAATAAGCTCCCAACTCCTAGTTTTGGACCCAGCCCACACCTGGCCATTTTAGCAGGCATTTAGGGAGTGAACCAGAGGAAGATCTCTTTCATTTCTCTCTCTCTCTCTCTCTCTCTCTCTCTCTCTCTCTCTCTCTTGCTTTCTGTATGTATGTATGTGAGAGACAGAGAATGAAGCTGTAAACACTCCCCCGAATTTTTATAATAGTAGCAACCAAAAAATCATAGTATCTAAATCAATTTATAGTATTATGTAGCCAGCAGTGCTGTGAAATGATGGTGTCATTATCCACAATGTGGAATAAAACTTGGGAAGTACAAAGTATTTCAGGAAAGGTAGACTGGAGGTAAGCAATTCAAATGAGTGCTGAGTCAGTTGCTACAGTAGAGCAGCCTTACTTCCTGAGCCCCTCAGTACCGGCTGATTCTGTAGTGCTCTGCCCAGGTTGACTTACCACCTCCAACCTGCTGGGGAAACAGGTTTCTGACAGTTCACAGAGCAGGCCACTCAAGGATACACCCCTTCCTGGCAGGCTTAATGAATAGCAGGGATGGGACTGAGTACTCAGGCCTAACCCCTTCTCTCAATTGGAGACAGCTCTAAATGGTTATCCCAGCTCCAGAGCTCCGAGTCCATCAGCTGAGAGCTGGATTGGAAGTGGAGCATCTAGGTCTGGAACCGGCGCCCATGTGGGATGCCGCCGCTTTGGGCCAGGGTGTTAACCCATTGCGCCACAGTGCCGGTGCCAGCCCTCCATCCAGTCTTGTCTCTTCCCTTCACCTTGCTTCCTTCAGTAGCTTCTCCTCAGGCCCTAGCCCAACCAACCTACTGCCTGGAATTCTGTCTCTAGGGGATCCAGGCTAATACACAAAGAATCGGAGGGAGCTGGGGGCTTCCCTCTGGAACTTAGGGAAAATTGAGAATGGTTTTGTTTTAAAAGATTTATTATTTGTTTGAAACGCAGAGCCACAGAGAGAGACAGATGGAGTCCTTCCATCATCTGGTTCATTTCCCAAATGGCTGCAATAGCCAGGGCTGAGCCAGGCTGAATCTAGGAGCCAGGAACTCCATCCTGGTCTCCTGCTTGAGTGGCAGGGGTCCAAGCACGTGGGGCTCCACTGCCTTCACAGGTGCATTAGCAGGAAGCTGGATCAGAAGCAGAGTAGCTGGGACACAAAGAGGCACTCCCATATGAAATACTGGTACTGCACGCCTCAGCTTAAGCAGCTGAACACAACACTGTCCCCCCGACATTTTTATATGCAAAGAAATAAAGTACAAAATTTGAGGGGGAAATTTAGATATTGACTATACATGGATCTTGTAAATAACATCCATGAAGAATTTTTAAACTTGAGCTTACGTCTGTGAAAAAAAAAAGTTTTAAAAATTGGCTTTTACACCTGTAAGG